ACTTGATGGCTCCTTCTAGCTGTTTGTTTCTTTGGTTTGGAAATGTGGTCCTTACTCCCTGTTTCTGGAGTCTTCTGGGTCCTGAATCTCTCTGCCATACCCCCTCTTGTTTCTGCTGCTTCCGCCCTCATGAAGAACTCATTTCTCCCACACTTTTGGCTCCTCTTCCCATTTCTATTTCTCTGCTTACAACATTCCATTCCTACTACTTTCTCCCCTGGTCCTATCACATGGCAAGCTTACTCACTTGCTGCCATTCTTGTTACTATTTCCCTGCATTACTCTGCACATATTGCCCCAGAGTTTGCACACTTCCCTTTCTCTTCTCCCTCCCATAGAACAGCCTCTCCTATTTTAACCCTCCCATTCCTACTTTCCACAAAGGTCCGTCTAGTCAAAGCCGTGGTTTTTCCAGTGGTCATGTATGGATGTGAGAGTTGGACCATAAAGAAAGCTGAGCGCCGAAGAATTGATGCTTTTGAACAGTGGTGTTGGAGAATACTCCTGAGAGCCCCTTGGACTGCAAGGAGATCCAACCAGTCCATCCTAAAGGAAATTGGTCCTGAACATTCATTAGAAGGACTGATGCTGAACCTGAAACTCCAATACTTTGGCCACCTGATGCGAAGAGCTGACTCACTAGAAAAAGCCCTGATGCTGGGAAACATTGAGAGCAGGAGGAGAAGGGGACGACAGAGGATGAGATGGTTGGATGGCATCACCGACTCAATGGACATGAGTTTGAGCAAACTCCGGGAGATAGTGGAGGACAGGGAAGTTTGGCGTGCTGCAGTCCATGGGCTCAGATACAACTCAGGGACTGAAAAACAACCAATTCTTACTACAGTTCCTCCTAGTCGGGCTGCTATTGTTTTTCTTGTTCCTATCCTTAATGTTACCTGTCCAAGCATCACTCTTCTCATTACTGCTACTTCTCTGATCACTCCTCCTGGCAAATCATTTCTTCTCTGACTCGTCATCATTTCTGTAACTTTTTCTCTTTCTTCTCCTTCAGCGAATAGGATTTCTTCTGTTATTCTTCCTCCTCTCCTTTCCTTTGACATTTTTTTCCCTTCTGTGGGATTCAAAAATACGTGCAAATCCTTCGACACCCATCCCATAAGAAGGGGAGTCTGTGCTTGGAATCTGGGGGGCCGGTGGCTGCTTTAAGGATATGTCTGTATTATTTGAGTTTATTTTATTCACAGCAATATGTATTACATTTATAACATTTTTAAATAAAGAGATGCTTTAAAACTAAAAAAAAAGAATAAACAGGAAGTGAGGCTCGTGGCTTCTGATGCAGGGTCGTGAAAGTGGAGCGGGCTCCACCTGTGCTGTTTGAAACGCTCGCACTGGGCGCTCTGAGCCCAATGCGAGCAGTTCAGCTGCCCTGAGGCCGCCATCCAGCTCAGGAACCAGCGAGGCAAGAGGCCTCCGGATGGTGCCAGCCTCCAGCCTTCCCTGCTGAGCGCCCAGATATCACAGAACTGAGACATGCCCTCCGCCCTGTCCAGATTCCCGACCCTAGAACCCACAGCCATAATAACTTGGCTGTAACTTTTTCTCTTTACGCCACTTGAGTTTAGAGTGGCATACTCCGCAGCAGCAGGAGCCAAAAGGCTCTCCCCTTGCCCACACGGCCCATCCTGGACAGTTCCAGGACTCTACCCTGCCCTGACATGCTAACTGCCCTCTTCCGCTGGAGCCTCCTGACCTTGGCACTGGCACCTCTGCCTGTCCCATCAGTGAGCCCAGCCCCGTCGTCCTCTGGGCCGTAGGCATCTTGGCCGTGAGGCCATCTATCTGGGTACAGACAGCAGTGATTCACAGTTCTGCCGCCGGGGGAGACTTACTTCCTTGTCAAAAGCTCTCGGCCAAAGAGACAAGTTGTGGAGTCAGCACTCTGCGGGCTCGGGCCTGCGTACTGATCTGCCCCGGCCTCATCCCAAACCCCTGGGCCTGTGCCCCATGCACTAAAGTGATTAATGGTTCACGATCAATATGGGGCTGGGGAGTGACCCATCTGCGGGTCTTAGGAGCACAAATAGGTGATATATGGATCAGATAGACTGTGTGTGCAGCACTGTCTGGGGGTGCTCGGAGCTGGGCAGATCTGGATTTGATGGTCAGTTCTGCCAACTTATGGCTGTGTGACCTTGAGAAAGACACTCAATGTCTCTGGGCCACACTGCCCTCCTTTGTAACATGGGTTAATTAACCAGCCTTGCAAAAGTATTGGGGATCTAAGATCCCATAAAGGCCCATGCTCACCTTACAAAGGGGTACTTCTGAACGCCAAAGGTTAGGTTGGCTTCACTGATAGGATCACTGATAGGACTCACGGGCTTCCACCACGGGATTCCCTTTTGGAATACAAGCACCCGGCTCCAGCTTTCCTGGATTCTGGGAGGTGACTTAGGACGGTTCCTTGTTTGCAGGCGGGGGATCCGAGGCTCAAAGAGATAAGGTCATTTGCCCAAGGACACCTGGCTAAACACAGACTAACCCAAGATGCAAGCAGAGGCCAGCTGTCCTCCCCAGCACTCGTGGCGAGCGGCGCTCTCTGCTGGGCCCAGGTTAGCATGGCACTCTGCTGTGGACTAGCAAGACCCCCTCCCTCTGAGAGCAGGACGGGGAGGAAGGCAGCCAGGCACACAGGGTGACTTGACTGGGCAGGGGGGAGGCAGCCTTTACCGAGGTACAAATGCTTTCTCATGCTGTCATAAAACTTTATTCATTTAAGAACCTGAATTAATTTTTTTAGATAAGTAATCCACATTGGTAAAGAAGCTGTCTGACAAGGCAGGAGACGCAGGTTCCATCCCTGGGCAGGGATGATCCCCTGGGGGAGGAAATGGAAACCCACTCCAGTATTCTTGCCTGAAGAATTCCACAGACAGAGGAACCTGGTGGGCTACAGTCCACGGGGGTTGAAGAAGAGTCAGACATGACTGAGCATGAACTCCTTCATGCATTTCCAGGGTTCAACACTTCAAGGGCTTCCCCGGTGGCTCAGTGGTAAAGAGTCTGCCGCCCAAGGCTGGAGATGCGGGTTCGATCCCTAGTCCAGGAAGAGCCCACATGTGGTGGAGCAACCGAGCCATGAGCCTCTGAGCACGACTGGGCCTGTGCTGTAAAGCCTGGGAGCCGCAACTACTGAAGCCAGTGGCCCTAGAGCCTGTGATCTGCAAGAGGAGCCACGGCAACGAGAGAAAAGCCCCTGTGGAACAGATCACCCAGCACAACCGAAAATAAATACAGTTATTTAAAATAATTTTATACAAAAAATAAAATCACTTTAAAAAATTTCAAGAAGCACAAACGAGGATGCAATGAGAATCGAGTCTCTTGCACCTGCCCCCAGCCACTTTGTCAAGGGGCTCTGTGTGTCCACAAGAGAGAATTTTCTACATGCTTGAGCAAACATGAAGGCAGAGTCTTCGCTTTTTTTCCCTGCACATTTTATAAACAGGTACTCCACTTTGCCTTCTTCCAAAGAGACCCTTCCTCCTTTTTTTAATGGCTGTGTGGTATTCCTTTGGGTTGCTCACACACCTCCCTCCCCCCATTCTAAGGGAAGAAGTGAGTCTGATTTCCAAGGCTAGGACGCCCAGTGCCCTTCCCCGGCTGTTCTTCCTCAGAAACTCTGCGCCCTGGGGAGCTTGGTGGCTGCTGGGCTGATGGAAGTGAGCTCTGGTGGGCTTTCGTGGACAAAGCCTGCAGACAGACAGACCTTCTGACCACTGGCCTCCAGCCTTTGCTGGGTCCACGGGCAGGGCCCGCCCTCTCTGAGCCTCCTTTACCCCAAGATACAACTCGAAGACTCCACGCCCAGGGCAGAGGTGAAGGCTGCTGTAGAAAGTCGTTTGCCTTTTACAAGCCTGAAGCCCGGGGACACTCGCTAATTCATTGATTCACTCGTTTTCTTTCATTTATTCAGCCACTTACTGATGTATTCCTCCCCACCCCCCATTTATTCACTCCCTAATTTACAGAAGTCATACACCCATCCACTAATTCATTCATTCATTCTGTCACCGTTTTCTCACTCATCCATACACCCATGTATTCACTCACTGATTCCCTCCCTTATTCATCCATTTATTCAGGCATTCATTGTTTTCACTCATTCATTCACGGTCTGATTCGCGGTGATGAGCGTTCCTGGGACGTGCTAAGTGCGGATTCGCGGGAGGCTGGCTCGGTGAGCGAGCTCAGGCCGCTGAGCCGGGATGCGGGGCTGGCGGAGGAACCTTGCGTTCTGCCTGCAGCGGCTGCCGGACGAAGGTAGGACGCGGCCGCCGCCCAGGCCGGTGAGCACCGGCGCGGCGCGGGGCGAGGAGGGCGGGCCCAGCGCGGGGCTGGTCGGGGGGCGCCCGCTGGGGGTCCCCGCGGGAGGCTAGGGGCGGACGGCCGTTTGCTTCCGAGGCTCGGAAGGGGAGCGCCTGAAGCGCCGAGCCCGAAGGGTCATCGCAGGACATGCGGTTTGGAGCGCAGCCGGGCCGGGGGAACACGGAGGGCGGCTGCACGGGACTCGCGGAGGTGGGACCGGGGCCCAGGAGACCGCTTGGTGCTGGGGGTGGGGAGCGAAGGGCTCTGGACGCCCCAGGGCGCAGCCCGCGACCGGCGCGCGAGTCCGGTCCTTGGAGCGGCCGTGGCCGGAGCGGAGACCACGTGCGTCCCCGCGAGTTGGGGGGTGGGGGGTCCGGTGTGCGCGCGCTCACCGCGGCTGGGGCCTGGGGATCCCGAGGCTGCCGTCACTGGGACGCAACTTTCCTCCGCGCGCCCGCCCGGCAGCCGCCCCGCGACGACCCCAGAGTCTGCAGTTCCTCAAAGTTGCAGAGAGGCCGGAGGCGGGAAGGGGTGCGCGGCGGGCGGGGAGCCGGCCGGGCTCTGCCGCAGCGCGGCGGCGCAGCCGCCTTTGCCCGGCCGCCCCCCGGGCTGCCCCGCTGCTTACCTGTGGTCGGAGCCGCTGGCCTCGCGCGCTGGAGGTTAAGAAGAACACGCGCGCCCGGGTCCGGCCACCGCCGAGGGTAGTTTGGCTTCGGTGAATTGCCAGAACGGTGTCGAGGGGGCAGAGCCAGGCGGGGATGGCAGTGCCCACCCTCTGCTCACTTCGGGGGGCACGAAGTCGGGCTTAGAGGCAGCGGGCACTGTGCGTCCGGGCCCACACTTCCGCCTCTGCCTTTCACCTTCGCGGCCACCCCTGGGGAGGGCGCTGTTCTTTCCTCCTGGCCAGGGAGGGCACTGGGCTCTAGGGAGGAAGCCTCTCCTCCAAGGTCACGACACCACTAGGTGGAAAAGCTGGAGGTGAACGAACCCAGGTCTGCGTTACTGGCAAGATTTCGGTCGTGCCAGCCCCCTGCCCGACTCCTTCCCGTTTCTGCCCGTGCCGAGTTGGACCAGGCTCAGTTCCTGGGAAAGGATCCTTGCCCAGTCCAGGCCAGGATGCTCTTGTTTGGGGCGCGAGGGAAGCGGGGAGGTGGAACAGCTGAGAGCAGGTCCCTGCCACTCCTGTCCTGTCCCCAACGCTAGGTCAGTTCTGGAACCCGTGCAAAGGTGGGGGCGGGGCAGGTGCCCAGGCTTCCTTCCTTTCGGTGTAGGGAGGGGGCAGCAGGGTAGAGCAGGCACCCCGGAGCTCTCCCCAAGGAGAGGAGTAAATTAAGAAGGGCATCTTCAGAGGCAGGGGCCCAGCACCAGCCTTCAGAAAACAGCGCAGCCCAGCCACAGGCGTGCTCCATAGTCTGGGACCCGTCCTGCCGGCTCTGGGAGGCTCACTTTCTGTGTTCCTAAGGGGAGGGCCTGCCTAGGGAGGAAGATGTGAGATCTTGGCCCCTGGGCACAGCGCACGGCCCAGGGCAGACTGGCAAGTGGGAGGCTGTGATGTCCTGAGATGGAGGGTGTTGCTGCCTTGCTCCTGGATTCCCACTCGCCATGGGTGAGGCCCGTGGGTGGTGTGTGTGTGTGAGGTGTGTGTGCATGCCGGCACGTGGGTGGCGTGTTTGAGATGCGCATGGGCGTAACCAAGGCTCACGGGTGACCCGTACCAGGCGCGGGGGTCTTGTGACGCCTGCAGACCTTTTGCCTGCCACTGGCCACCGTCTTGAAGAGGAGCCCCCCACCCCCTCCCACAGTGCCATGAGATACCCAGCGTCTGAGTTTTCCTTGGGAAATCTTACCTGACATTAATCTTTGAGCTCAGCACTGAATCGGAGGGTGACTGGTGCCTCCACCCTCGCCCGGCAGGAAATTGCTATTTTAAAAAGACAAAAATCCCCAGCTGACTCTGGGCCATGGGAAAATGGTTTCCCGTGGGCCAGGTCTCTGATGAGAAACTGCGATGTGGGTCCAGCTGGATGGGAGACCTGTGGGGGAGAGAGGGGGGCCACAGGCCTGGCGTCCTCAGAGAAGAGCTTCAGTCAGCAGGAGGGCCATTCTGAACGAGGCCAGCTCGTCTGCTTGTTGGGTGGGCTGCGTTAAGGCCCCAGGGAAAGGAGAGTGGGCTTGGAGACCAGAGTCAGGGCCCCAGCTTAGTGTCTCTGCTGGCCAGCTGTGTGACCTTGGGCATTCTACTTAATTCTTCTGAGCTTCCGGTTTTCCATCCGGGAAGTGGGTAGGGTTCCCTTGCAGGTGGTTTTGGAGAGTCAGTGGCTTAGAGCAAGTGGTTGGTGCTCAAGAAATACTAATTCCCATCTTCCTTTCCGGATCTTTACACCCACTTCAGGTTTGGTGGGGTGAGGGTGAGGCTTCCCCTCAGGAGGTAAATAATCCACCTGCAATGCAGGATACACAGGAGACGCTGGTTCGATCCCTGGGTCAGGAAGATCCCCTGGAGGAGGAAATGGCCACCCACTCCAGTATGCTTGCCTGGGAAATCCTATGGACAGTGAAGCCTGGCTGGCTGCAGTCCGTGGGATTGCAAAGCGTTGGACACGGCTGAGTGACTGAGCACGCACACACGCTTAGATTTGGGGAGGTGATCTAGGGTACTGGTCAGTGGAGCACTCAAGACTCAGTGGGTTTCTGGATCATGAGCGGTCATCTTGAGGCTCCCCACTCCTAGGGTTTGGGGGAACCCAGTCTGGGCTGTGTCTGCCGTGTGCTACTTGGATCCATCGGCCAGCCTTGCCCAGTGAGGTTGGCCAAAAGTGTGGTGGTGCTCAGCACACACTTACACAGTGTGTGTATCTGGATCACACGCAGCCACAGGAATTGGCGACCTCTGTGACTCTAGCTTCATGATGCTTTTGAGGTGTTTCTGTGTGTGGTGTGGGGGAGACAGAGAGAGAGAAACGTGTTCTAATGAACCATCACCTTGAGGTTTGTGGCCCCACAGACAGCAACAGATTCCCTTCTGTTCGCCGCAGTAAACCCTTCTAGGGGACCCTCGCCTCCTTCCTCCAGGCTCCTGCTGATCTCTGCATGGGATCAGAAAAATAAAAGCCGGTCCTCAGCCTCAGGTTGCCCCCCAGTCCCTCAGATAACAAAAGTTCAAGGTGCCAGTGCCTGGGGAACGTGGAGTTGAAAGCAGCAGCCAATTCCTGGTCAGAGAGGCTGCTCAGAGGAGGAGGGAATGGTGACCCAGTGGAGACAGTCGGATCTCCACCGGCAAGTTCTTCCCATGGTGTGGCCTGATTAATTTTCCTCCTTATGCCAGTCCTTTCTGCTCTCTAATGGACTTTTGGAAAGTTACCCAGGAGGGTTAATAGAACTCATCACGCCCAGCTCTCTTAGTAGAGAGAGGGTGAAATACAGAAGCAGTCAGGAGGAAATGACTTTTTAGTCACTTACCAGATATTTCCTGGGCCCTGTTCTGGGGGCGGGGGATACCGCCATGAACCAAACAGAGACCCTGCTGTAAGGGACTTTACCTTCTGGGGAGAGACTGCTGCTGCTACTGCTAAGTCACTTCAGTCGTGGCCGACTCTGTGCGACCCCATCGCTGGGATTCTCCAGGCAAGAACACTGGAGTGGGTTGCCATTTCCTTCTCCAATGCATAAAAGTGAAAAGTGAAAGTGAAGTCGCTCAGCCATGTCCGACTCTTCTCGACCCCATGGACTGCAGCCTACCAGGCTCCTCCGTCCATGGGATTTTCCAGGCAAGAGCACTGGAGTGGGTTGCCATTTCCTTCTCCTGTGTAGGTAGAGGGAACAGCAAGTGTCAAAAGCCCTGGCTTCCAAGGGGTAGTGTGGGGAGGATGGGTTTGACCTATTGGAGGAAGAGAAAGAGTCGAGGGAGGAGGGTGATGAGTGAAGAGGCTGGAGGAGCCAGGTCATGGAAGGCCAGATTGCATAGGAGAGGAGGGTGGATTTTATTCTGCGATGGGAGGTATTGGAAGTCTTGACCAAGGACTTGGGTTGGCTCCGAAGATGAGCAAGGTTTTGAGTGATGGAGATGGCGGTGGGAGAGGCGTGCCAGGCAGAAGGATGGCATGGGTATATGGGTGGAGGCGGGAAAGCTATAGGAGCTGAGACTGCGGGATGGGCAGGAACCAAAGGCACTGAAAGCGGGTTGGGGGAACTGTCCAGGGTTCTGAGAGGCTCACCCAGTGGCTCTGCAATTAGGACTTTCAGGGGATCGTGTGTGTGTGTCCGTCCCCGTGGTACCCAGCTAGCTGATGTGTCCCTTTGCTGGTTACCTAGGAGACAGCGGGAAGACGGTGGGGTGGGATCTGATTGGCTACTTACTCCCGCTGCTCATCTTTCTGTCAGACTTGCAGGCAGAGGTTACAAATGGTCCATGTGGGCATGCCAAGGGCTGGAAGGAGAGCTGCCCCAAGTCCTGTGTGTGTGTGTGTGTGTGTGTGTATGCGCGTGTGTGTGTGTCTGCCAGTGTGTCTGTGTGCACGTCTTGAACAAAGCGGCGGCATCTGGAGCTAATGTGCTTCCTGCTGTGAAACATCTGCTCGTTGCCTTAAATCAGGTAGGGGGGACTCAGAGAAATTCAAGAAGAGCCAGCCAGACTTGAGAAAGGATCTTTTGTTTGGTTTTAATAACTGCGGTGTCAACACTGAAGCCGACTTTAAACATCTCCCTGTATCTCCAGAAATGCACATCACCCTTTGAGTGGCGGAAGTTATGTCCCGTGATGCAGACTGTGATGTCAGTGTGCAGAATCGCCTGCTTCCCCCCGCCCAGCCAAGAAGGATGGTATAAGATTGTAGATCTGGTGTTTCTCTCCACTCCCCTCCCCTTTTTTTTTTAAATAGTAGGTCTTTTTCTTTCACTTTGTGGGCAAAAGGACAAGAGATCTGCACTTTAATTTCACTTGTCAAGGGAGCGGGGAAGCAAAAACAAAACCCTCATCCAAGTGTTTCCTTTGCTGTGACTTTCTTTTTCCTTTTTTTAAAACTTTTTATTTTGTACTGGAGTATAGTTGACTAACTGTTGTGATAGTTTCAGGCGGAGAGCGAAGGGACTCAGCCGTTCGTACACAGGTATCCATTCTTCCCCAAACCCCCCTCCCATCCAGGCTGTCAAATAACTTCAAGCAGAGTCCCATGTGCTACACAGTAGGTCCTAGCTGATTGTCCCGCTATATACATAACATATATTGTTTTAAAATAGCAGTGTGTACGTGTCCATGCCAAACTCCCTAACTCTCCCTCCCCTCTATCCATCCCCCTTGCTAACCGTGATATCGTTCTCTAAGTCTGAATCTGTCTCTGTTTTTTAAATAAGTTCATTTGCATCGTTTCTCTTTAGACTGAGGTTGGCTTTCTACAGCAGAAGCCGAGGAAGGCTTGGGGGGAGAAACACAACAGCAACAAACATAGTACTTGCTCAGTAAATATTTGAAGGGAGCGAAGTGAGCCTGGAGGACAGAGCTGAAACAGAGTTAGACTTCATAGGAGCCCTGGCTCAGCCCGCCAGGTATTCTGATCCTTTTTGTTGTTGCTGTGTTCTTTTTTCCTAGAGAAGCTAGAAATCCAGTTTTAAGTGCTACCTGCCAACTTTAAAATGCTGAGCATCAATTTAAACGAACTCTGAGGGGTCAGATGATGCTGCCTTTGAAGCTGGAGGCCTCTGATATTCCAAGCCCTTTGGGATCTGGCTGCAGTAACCTCTCTTTGCTCCGGAATCGTGCATAGACCTTGTTCTGCCCCACCTCTGAGCCTTTGCTCAGGCTGCCGCCTCTTCCTGGAGTGCCTCAGCTCCCACCCTCTTCTCACCCAGCAAATTAGTGTTTCCTCGCCTTCCTTCCTTAGACCAGGGCAGGGTGCAGCTTCCTGTTGTCCCCTTCCCCGGCATGGCAGAACTGGTCTCTCCCACCACGTTTGAATTCCAGCTCCTCTCCTACTGGAGCATAGCTATGTGTCTGCCCATCTCTCTTGTCCGCTAGATTCGGGCTCCAGAGGGTAGGAACCCTGTCCCATCCATCTTCGCAGTGTCCCGCCCTGGGGCCCCAGCTTGGGAGCCAGCCAGGACAGATCTGAGCATGGATAGGGCAGCAAATCCCTACATGGGGAGCTGCATGTGTATGGCAGTTTATGCTTTGCAAAACGTCCCCCCCCCCCTTTTTTTAATACTGTATTGGTTCTAGGAGTGTAGCATAATGTTTGTTTTGCCGGTGCTGGGTCTTCATTCCTGCACACGGGCTTTCTCTAATCGCGGCGAGCAGGGGCTCCTCTCTAGTTAGGGTGCGGGCTTCTCTTTGCGGTTCTGTCGTTGAGGACCACAGGCTCTAGGGCGCTTGGGCTTCAGGAGTTCTGGCTCTCGGGCTCAGTTGCCTCAAGGCATGTGGAATCTTAGTTTCCCAACCAGGGATCGAACCCATGTTGGCAGGCAGATTCTTAACCACTGGACCATCAGGGAAGTCCCTGCCAAACATCCTTATTGGTATTGTTTAATGAGCAGTCCACTCAATCGGCAGATGTTTTTTTGAGCTCCTGTTGTGTGCCAGACGTGGGCACACAGTCCTGAAGATCGAGGAAGCCGAGATCTCGCAGAGTGTGCACGCGTGCGGCTGAGCCCAGAGCGTGCACGCGTGCGGCTGAGCCCCGCGGGCTGCCGCCTCTGGCTGTGCTTCCCAAACACCAGGGGCTTGGATCTGCCCACTCGTCTTCTTTTGGCTGGCCTGCCTCAGTTTACGCTCCAGGGACTCACTCCTCCGCGGTCCTCAGCCTTGAATGGCTCCTCAGAGCGCATGCCATGGTTGGGCAGGTCGTCCGTAGCCGTCTCTGAAATCAGGAGATGGCAGTAAAGGACAGGTTGCATAGGAGTGTAGGGACCCCCCCGGGCTCCCTTCCAGAAAATTAGCTGACTTTTCCATGTGGGGCATTCAGAGCATTCTGAGAAAATATTTGTTTGTTTTTAAAGTTTGCCCTTTCATTCTGCAAACTCTTACCAAGCCCCTACTAAGTGCCAGGCCCTTCTCTTATTTGTTGTTCAGTCTCTCGCTAAGTCGCGTCTGACTCTTTGTGACCCCATGGACTGCATGCAGCACACCAGGCTTCTCTGTCCTTCACCATCTCCCAGAGCGTGCCCAAACTCATGTCCATCGAGTCGGTGATGCCATCCAAACGTCTCATCCTCTGTCCCCCTCTTTTCCTCCTGCCTTCAGTCTTTCCCAGCATCCGGGTCTTTTGCAGTGAGTCAGCTCTTGGCATCAGGTGGCCAAAGTACCAGAGCTTCAGCATCAGTCCTTCCAATGAATGTTCAGGGTTGATTTCCTTTGGGATTGACTGGTTTGATCTCCTTGAGGTCCAGGGGACTCTCAAGAGTCTCCTCGAACACCACAGATGGAAAGCATCAATGCTTCGGCTTATGCCGTTTCAGAAACCCCACCTGAGTTCAGAGCTCATTATCTCCGTCTCACACTTGGGAACCTGAGGCCCATGGAGGTTAAGTCGCTTGCCTGAGAACGCACTGCTGGGTTGCAGCGTAGCAGGAATGTCATCCCAGGGGCGTCTTTCTCCCAAGCCAAGGCTCGTTCTGTGACCCCAGGCTGCTTCCCTTGGAATTCCAGTCCCAAGAGTCAGGAGTGATGAGGCGCTCAGGGAAGGAGCATGGACCTCTGTCTGGGTTGGGGAACTGGTGTTGACGTCTGGCTCGAGTGGGCTTCCCTTGTGACTCTGCTGGTAAAGAATCTGCCTGCAGTGCAGGAGACCTGGGTTGGGGAGATCCCCTGGAGAAGGGAAAGGTTACCCACTCCAGTATTCTGGCCTGGAGAACTCTTCCATGGACGGTACAGCCCACGGGATCACAGAGTCCGACACGACTTTCACTTTCTGGCTGGGGTTTCAAAGAGCAGTGGTGAGTTGGCCAGGAATGGAAGGAGCAGAGAAAGCCACTTTAGACCAAAAGATCAGCAGGTGAAAAAAGCAGAGTTCAGAAAAACGTGCCGTGTCTACAGCTGTGCGGTGTGGGCTTGCATGAAGTGGCTGGGGGTGGGGGAGTGGGGCTCCGTTCTGGAAAGGTGGGTTCGGCCAGATTGTCAGGGCAGAGACGATTGTACCCAGCCCGTAAATACACCTTGCTTAGCACTGACAGTAGCTTAAAAAAAATTAGTTGCTGTTGAATTTTAAGGGTAGGTGGGAGGAGGCGGGGAGCTTTCACACTGGAAAAACAGACGTGCAACTCTCTTCAGAGCACCTGGCGACACTGGGCCCGCCCTGCCGCTGTGCCCTGTGGAATGTGGTCACCACCCCCACCGCCCCCGTCCACCCGATGACGCATTCACGCACTTGCCCGTTGCGGGAGACCTTGAACTCACCCACTAAAGCAGTTTATGCGTCATTTCTTGAGGCAGCTGAAAGGTTTTCAGGCAGGAGAGTGATTATCTTCGGAAAGCTCCTGCTGGCTGCCAGGGGGCTGGGAGGCAGGGGGAGGCAGGAAGACCCATCCCCTCACCAGCGACTGTCCTTGTCATTTTTAGGCGTATTTGCTCAGCCCTGTGAGATGCCTCGTATTCACTCCTCGTTTTAACCCTGCAAGGCCAGGTTATCAGATGAGGAAATAGAAACTCCAAAAGCAGATGCCATGAAAGAAAGAATGGAGAGATTGGACCACCAAAAAGTATAGACGTTTTGTATGACCAAGGAAACCATTCGTGAGGTTCAAAGACAAGCCACAGGCCGGGAGGAAAAGTCTTTAAAGCGTACCTAATCCAGGGACTTCCCTGGTGGTGCAGTGGTTAAGAATCTGCTTCCAATGCAGGGGACGTGGGTTTGACCCCTGGTCAGGTAACTAGGGTCCCACGTGCCACAGGGCAACTGAGCCAGTGAGCTGCAAGTACTGAGGCCGTCTGCTCCGGAGCACGTGGGCAACAGCGAGGGAGCAGTCTGCACGGCAGCCAAAGATCCTGCGAGCCGCAGTGAAGCCCTGAGACAGCCAGAAACAGATCAATGTTAACCAAAGCATCCAACCAGTCCATCCGAAAGGAGATCAGTCCAGAATGTTCACTGGAAAGACTGATGACGAAGCTGAAGCTGAAGCTTCAATCCTTTCGCCACCTGAGGCGAAGAACTGACTCACTGGAAGAGACCCTGATGCTGGGAAAGATTGAAGGCAGGAGAAGAAGGAGACAACACAGGATGAGATGGTTGGATGGCATCACTGACTCGACAAACATGAGTTTGAGCAAGCTCTGGGTATTGGTGAT